TCGATTGGAAATAAACACATCTTTAGATATTTTTTCTGCAAACTCTGCCTGGATTACTCTGAATGTCAAATGCACCTATTTTGTTTATTATTCTGACCCTTTTAAATTACCCTTTTCCTCTCTTTAAATAGGTTCCAACTTTAGCTGACTTTCAAGTTATCAGTCTTTTGATAATAAATGTCGAGACCACTAATTATTTTCATAAAAAACATTATTTTAAAATATAAAGGGTAACCGATAACAAATTATATTTATGTAGTCTTTGTTCCATTCATACAGGAAAATTTTTCGTTTTCAGTCTTGCTAACAACTAGAGAAACTCTACAGATTTTTTGACGGGTTAACTTTTACTGAGTCAATATGATAGTTGCTCGAATGCTTGTCGAGAGCAATTATATTAGTACATGTATGTTGAATGCAATCAACACACGTCCCAGACTTCGTTGCAGTAGATTTTATAGTGAAAAAAGGAGAGACATTTCGAACCCCCCCCCCCCCCCCTAAAGAGCTAGGTTGTTATCGAACACAATGATAAACATAATGCACGTGGGGAAAATAAATTTCAAAATAACTGATAAAAGCTACTATAAGAAAAGAATATTGTTGTTTTTAACTTTTAAAGACTTCTTAGCAAGACAATGTATAATATTGTACAATAACGTACATAACACGTACGTAAAGGAATCCACGTCTTGTCCAAAAATATTCTGTTATATGACTGCAAGCTCCTCGGTTTGGTTTTCCATGTTCCCATGTTTAAAAATGCATTGAAAGTTGTTCAACATCTATTTACTTCTTATTTCTGAAATTAAGTTTAATAATTTTGTCGACAGATAAAATATTTTTATCAATCCTTAGGATAGGTATTGCCGCCGATGCAGTGTATTGCTGAATATTGAAGCTGCAATTCTGGCAAATCTATTATCGTCAACGACAATATGTGACGATGGAAAACAATATACAGGCACACATGCAGGGAATGGGAAGGGGGTGTCCTCGTTTGAAAAATGTCTGCATCTAAGCAGTCGAAGAATTCGAATAGCAGCAAACATTAATGAATAAGACTTTGCCAGATTCTATTTTGCACGCTGGACGTTTTGCTGCTGGTTATAATAAGAACAGCCATGTCTACATGTTCGTGAATTATGTTACATTGTTCTGTCGGATTCCTTTTCCTATTGTTTGGTGAATTATTCTTGGGTGTGAGCTCAGTAACAATACGTCAATGGCCAATACAATTAGTTATTGTTGATAAACTTGACGTGCTCTTTCCACCACTAAGTGTGTGGTTCTGATATTCCAGGCTCAAGCATTCGTCCTTCGAGAATTTTTCACTCATATTGGTACACAACCAATTGCCGATAGAAAGCTGCAAATTTAGACCTGTACTCGGCACTTACGACTTCTAATTATTAGCAGTGAGGGTCCCTTTTTCATGAGACAAGGGATCTCGATTCATATGGCCTCATTCGAGAAACCTCTTTCTTCGTCCTTTTATAGACTGACGAAATAATAAATAAATGAAAAATAATTGCACATAAAATGTATCAAACTTTAAATTGATGAAATACCAATAGCATGGAAAAGATGCGACATTTTATTTAAAAAAAGCATCGATAATACACAAACCAAAAATTGAGTTCAAGATTTTAAGTCTAACTTATAGTTAATATTTTCCTCCAACCCCTTCCCCGACAAATGAAATGTATGCCTTATTTGCATGGTTGTTTATATACTGCTATTTGGTAATTTCGTGCTTTTTAAAACAATTAAGTATTCGGAAACATTGACTTTAATAAAATAATTCACTACTATGTCAATGTCACTGCATGGTCAAGTTTTTTGTTATGACACAATGTGATAAACAAAGACTTTGCTATAGCTTTAACGTTAAGTTCAGGTCACATTATTTCTGGCTCTAAATTTGAAACCTTTTGTTCAATAAAAACGGAACTCGTAAAATTTTATATCTTGTGTTTGGTCGTTTACAAGATTACGTTGTTAAAAGTCATTCCGTACACACAAGAACTATTGCTCTGAAGTTGATAATAAAAAGATGCTGTAGTTCCTCATTGACAATATCTAGTAGTTTTTGAATATCAAGTCTTCCAACAACCTGTTAAAATCCGAGGGACGCTTAGAAGTGAGCTCTTTAGTCAACATGTTTTTATATTCCTATATGAAGCATAATTTACATGGGTAGTAAAGACTCTTGTTGTGACCTTCAATTCGACATTCAGAAATGTCGAACGACGTTTTATCGATTAACAATAGTTATTTCCATCTTATGTCGACTTGATCAATCCCAGTGAACTTAAAATAAACGTCACCTGACCACAGAGTTTGCTACAGTTGTTCAATATTTTGATGTTTACTGACAATAAACGTTTTTATTATACCTTATTATAATAATTCTACACAACGCGTTATCTGTGTAACGGGAGAGGAGAAAAATGCAGCGGACCAGACCGGGATTCGAACCCGAACCCGACTTTAAGGAGGGAGGAATGTGGCGGTCAGACGGGTTCGATCGCCGGTGGCCAGATAGCTCAGTTGGTAGAGCACCTGACTGGAGATTCAGGGGGCCCGGATTCGAATCCCGGTCTGGTCCGCTGCATTTTTCTCCTCTCCCGTTACATTTGGTGCCGTGCCATGCCTAGGAAGTGACAGGTGAAAGACCTGCCAGGGAAGAGCCTGGGTTGGTGTCTTCGGGGGCCGAAGACCTTTAAGGAGGGAGGAATGTGGCGGTCAGACGGGTTCGATCGCCGGTGGCAAGATAGCTCAGTTGGTAGAGCACCTGACTGGAGATTCAGGGGGCCCGGGTTGGAATCCCGGTCTGGTCCGCTGCATTTTTCTCCTCTCCCGTTACATCTGATTGGTTCTAGATTTTCACGTGATCGGGCCATAAAACTTCATATTTCACGGTCGTCGGCATGCTTTTCATCATATTTCCCCTCTTGGATACCTAGTGCATTTTCCCGCAATAGTTATCGTTCGTTGAAAGTAGTAGACGTCACAGTAGCCTGGTTTACGTCACAAAATTGATGATTAGTGATGTGTCAAAGGGTTTCAGTAACTTTACGTTAAAAATGACAGTGAATTTGCGAGCGGTGCCGAATTTGAAAGTTTATGTTTATTTCAAAGTTTTTGCTTGTTTCGGTATAATAAACAATTCATTGCATGAATGTTCGGGAAACATGAAGATTTATTCAGCCAAGAAATATCATATTCCCCTCGGACGAAGTCCTCGGGGAATATGATATTTCTTGGCTGAATAAACCTTCATATTTCCCTCGCAATCATGCAATAAATGTATAATGGGCAACTAACACCTTAACTATAAGACAAAAGTTAGCTTTTCAGCTTTCAGTTCAGCTTTCCTTTCGTTAACTTCTTCTAGTTTTGAAGCAATATTCCAATATCATCTGCATATGGTATTTATGTCTCCCAGCTGATTCGGTACGGATGAGCATGTTTTGAGTGCGAACAGTTTTTAAAACGAAGCAGATTACTGAAAAATAAGTTGGTGTTAAAGGTCTTTCAACAATTTCGTTTAAAGTTAACAAATTCTATAGTCAATATAGTGACTTTATTTAAGGGATAATTCTCTAGATTTTGGTTTTATAATGTGATCAAACAGTTTGCTCATGTGATAATTTTCATAAATGTTTAGAGAAAATATTTAGGTTATTTTTATTCAATAATTAGAAATCTTAGCCTGCAAACCCATTCAAATATATTACTAAGCCACACACTCTGAGAGGGCATTTTTGTCACATGATGAGCAAAATGCTTAATGAAGGTATAAAGCTATCTCCTTATTTCTAGCTTTATCTAGAAGGAAGACATTTGCACAAATAAATATTTTCATTTTAAAGCAATTTACTCACGAAATGGAACTGCATTCTCGTTGTGTGTTGCTGAGAAATACACTAGGCTGAACGTTGAAAATTTCTAATAAAGGAATAAAAATAACTTTAAATCTTTCATTTTTTTTTATGGAATCAAGGATCGGGTATGGCTGTAAATACAAGAAATAACTATCTGTTCTGTTTTATTGTTCTTTTTTATAATGATGATCATACAGTTTGCTCACGTGATAATTTTATGCATTCGATGTTTATGCAAATTATCATGGGAGCAAACCGATTGATCACATAGGTGATAAAACCAAAAACTAGACAGTAATTCCTTAAGTACAACTTATTGTGGGGTTTTATTTTGACCGACATGTTTCATACCAATGTTAGGCTATCGGTTTTGTACTAATTTTGACTACGTATTATTCCGTTTACAGAGAGTTTGCGGGGTTGTGATCGGTCGACAGGGGACTTATTCCTCCTTAGTACCTTATCTCCCCTTTGGTGTTTTCCAGCGTGTCAAGAAGTACATGGACCAAGATTCCAAATCCCCATAATCGGGGTTATTTCTTCGGCTTTGCCCAAGTATTTTAAAATTTATTTAACCAATAAAATTCACCTGAAGGTACAATTGTCTACCCCTCTCCCCGGAGATATTATTGTCATGTTTTGTTTTTAAAGAAGCTACGTTGTGGGGGGATCTGATTTCGGGGATCATGAATCTTGATCTCCTCGTCAATGATCTATTTTAATGATACAATCTAACCCCGAATCTTACCTGTGAAAAATGTGTCCTTAGTTAAGTATAAGTTCTCTAAAACTATAATTAATTAATTAATCCTAGATTCTCAAGAGTTTATATCATAGAGTCTATATTTTTTTCTTAAATCTGCCACTCAAAAATGAATACATCAAACGTGTTTTCTTTCTTTATTGTGTAAAACATGATCTATAAAATGGAAGTAAAACAAAAACAAGAAATATTAGGGTACATTCACCTTTCTCGCATCATTCGTAATCTCACATGCATAAAATGTATCGCTTATCAGCCCCCATTTCAAAACAGGTATCACAGATATGCTTGATTTTATAACGAGGCTCATCAGAAGCTTCCGGTGATGAGAACTATTCATATTTCAAACTTTTATAGATAATTCACAGAAAATGGACCTGATTAGCTAACGGTAAAGATTGCTTTCCGTCGTCTGTTCAGAGTAGCAGACGTGTCCATGGTGTCTTCCGGTTTCTCCTCGTTGATAAAACTTGGTAACGACAATTGTTTACACAGCTGTTGACGACATTTGCGCGGTTTCCGGCACATGAGATAAATATCCTCAAATATTTTTGACACAGAGTCTACATTTTCTCTAACAGATATTTCGTAAAATGATAGACAACCAAGTTCTAAAGACCTTTGGAATCCTTCTTCTTCGGTAACCATTCTGTCATGGATTCGATCAATTTGATTGGCTACCAGAACCACCGGTGTTGATGTCATAACAGAATCTGGTGACGACACACTTTTGCGTTGCTTCTTACTGTAGGAATTGATGAGGAATTTAAGTCTGCTCACTTCGCCGAAACTACATCGGTCGGTCACCGAGTACATAAGAATGTAAGCCTCCGCCCACTTTATGTGGTCTTCTAAACGACTTTTCTCCGCCTGAAATTTGATACACATTTATAATAACTATTAGATCAATAAGTTATTCGTTTATTTTTCTATAAATTAGTTCATGTGTGCAGAGCTGCCACAACCCCCTTAATATGGTAGATAAATAGCTATATCTGCGTTTTCTGTATCATTAAATAAATTAAATTCTGAATTTTTTATCAAATGTTCTTAAGCATGCCATCCATTCACGTGAAAAATTTGACCTCTATTTACCAACGTGCGCCTTTACATGCGCAGCCGTTGGGTATGTACTTACTTCTAAAACACGATATGGTCAAGACCTTGATTTTTACGTCACAGGAAGAAAGTTTCGCCCATTTCATATTTTCCTACATGCTTTATTTCACGTATGATGCTGTTCAACAAAGACATTAAGTGCAATTTTATGCTCATTATCGTGACTGATAAAACACGAAGAAGCTTTTATTTTTTCTAATTATTTTTCAATGACGCGAGATACAGTGAACTAATTAAAAAAAATAAGCCTTGTTGCACGATTTCACAACTTTGCTTATATTAGCGATGTTTTCATTAGATATAAGTGAATCAGGACCACAGATTTCTATCAAAAAACGAGCTTAAGATGAAAGTAAAATAATATTCTAATTATGACCACACAAGATAGAGACTTAATTGTGACCACTGAAATTCAATTAGGTTGTGGATTCTCTATCTAACGGATTAATCTTTGTAAATGGATTAAATTAATTTCTAATGCTAATCGGTTTTTAAAATCAAAACCGTAAATCCTGATAGAAATTTGCACTCATATTTAGCATTGAAATAATTTATTTTAAAAAAATCATTTCAATCACAAACCCAAGAAATTAGCTAGGTCAAGCAGTGTAAAAAGATACAGCATATGCTGATACTAGAACTATTTACCTGCGCGGCAGTATCCAATAATTCTAAGGTCACTGTGTCACCGTCTAAACATCGTGAGCAAGCGTAAACCTTTTCTACAAAGAAAAAAAGCAGTGCGCCGTAAAATAAGATTATCTTGTCTTTAAACTTTTACAAATGTTTAAGAACATGAACTTTATATTTCTGAATCAATGTCTCGCGCGTGTTTTCATTTTTACATTAAGCGGATTAGGATACAGATGTACGCTTTACTATTTTTGAGTTTTCACCAGTTGACTTACTTTCCAACATAAAAATGCAGACAGGAAGGCGAACTGAGAATTATAAATTATTGTCCAAGAATGTATCAACATTTAGGAATAAAGTAAAAAAAGAAGGGACCAAGATTATCTTTTTTTCAGTTTGAAAATATTTACTTTTTTCATAAACGGTTCTTTACATTTATATATGGGCCGAAGACACACTTGACAAATGGGGCTTTACAATGTTGAAAAAAAAAAAATAATGACCCCAGAATGTACTGGACCAAAAAAAAAGTCAGTGATCATAAGATGACGCATTTTGTAGCTTCAGACATATGGTTTGAACATATTTTATTGTATAAATAATATACAAATGGTTTGAACACAAGTTCTAACAACTTACAAGGTTCTCACCATAAATGGCTACAACTGTCAAAGACATATTGAACTGGTGAAAACAATTATATTAATAAGAAATTATCCTCGTTGAGAATCATCGATGTCTTTTATGTAAAGTTATTATAGTATATGTATATATCAATATATACAGCAATTCCTGTATGATTTATATTTGATATATTAGCCAATGACCTTGGTTTTGCCAGTAAATTCCTGAACATACCTAAATCCGGATCATAGTCCCCAATGAACCGTCGTGTGATGAAGCGCACGGTCAAAGCTGGAAGTACAAGATAAAGATATATCAAGCATCAGCTCCACAGAAAATACATTTTCTTTATTTTTTATATCCACAATCTGTTATCAGCCGATTTGAGGATGCATGTTGAATACATTCTCTGCAGTGATGTGTATAATTTCAACCATTTTTGAATCTTATGCGGTGCAAAAGTCGACCTATTTCTTCATGCAAAAAATTCATTTTTGGCAGGATGACTTTTATTGTGGGAAAATCAAGATGAAATTTTATAACTGCATAATATTTCACAATTTTTGTAACTTGAAGAATTTAAGGAAATCCAATGCTGATATTTTCTGTAAAGGTTACAGTCACATTAAATTTTGCACTGTTTTTTATGTAAACAATTTGATGTTAAGAAAACTCTTGGAAAAAAGAAAAGATTTAAAGAATAGCAAATAATTTATATTTTTTATTTTAGATGCTTTTGAGAATTCACGGTACAATCTATTTTTAAACGTCTTGTTATCAAGTCTTCATTAATCTTATCACACGGATTATGTTAAGGTACAAATAAAAGTACGTCCAATCTTAATTTGATAAAAAGCTCTCTAGGATTGGAGATAAAATAATAAAGCTGATGCAGGGGAAACGAGACGCAAACCTCAATAACTTTTCTCCTCAGAAGAGATCTTATCAAAATGCAGCCATTTCTCTTATAAACATAATAGCGTAATTTAGTTATTCTATCAGAATTTATGAGAGAGTATATCAAACATCATAGACACTTAGCGATGAAAGAAAAAGCGTTCGAAAAGCACAAGAATTACGTATAAATATATACTTTCTCCATTGTTGCAAAAGGCTTTTGCTGCCCCCCCCCTCCCCCCTCTAACATGCGTGTGGCCTGAAATCTTGCTCTGAATATTTTGTCGCTCCGTGTACAAATCTGACAGAAACAATTTTCCAATTATATCAAACATGTACTTATTTACAGACATTTTACGAACTGGAAAAACAAATCTCTATGATGTAGTATAATTCTATTAATTTCAGGAATTTACTTAAAAACCTCCTATCCACAGACATTTGATTTTCATGTATCTTTTTTATTTTATTTTATTTTTCTTCGCTTAGATTCCCATCTCACAAAATTAATCCTGCATTGCAGTATAACAATATTCTATTTGCATTGAAGCTCTTTGATAACGTTTGCAATAAAAACATTCTTTAAAGCTTAAATGGTTCAGCTTTTCACACATTAAAGAAGTTTAACAATGCATTTAAAACTGCTAACTTTAAGCTACCATGTTTTAGAATGCACTACATTGTGGTTTGTCCTTGATCACAAAATTTCGCACTAACCGCCCAGAATTTAAGTAAGTATTCATCTTTTAAAAAAGGAATATATACGATATTGAAGAAAAATGAGTTCTTAATTATTACAAGTGGAATTTTGCAAATCATAGGTCATTCAGAATGAATTTATAGAAAGTTGAATAAAAGAGACATCTGACCACTATCAACCACTCTGATCGTAACAAATTATAACCATTTTCCAGATATCTTTAAAATATATTTTTCTCAATTTGAAAATTGTCAATTCAGAGAGAATATTTTATAACAACTTCAATCTACATGTAGTTTAAATTGCACAATAACTGAATTCTGGAACAAAAATAAAATTCTACACCTCCAAAGTTTTGAAGTGACATAAACTAGTGCTCAGGAACCCTGGCATGCTTAATGGGGGATTAGCATGATTAAACGTTATCGGGGCCCATCTGTGACTACCTGACTCAACACTTGATCAAGATTAACATCAAATGTACACAAAGATTTGCATAACGCTACATTCGGTCCCCATTTACCGTAAACTCCTGTTGCCCAACCTAAAAGCGTATTTTTCTCTCCAAATAAATAATTGAATAACTGTTAATTGTTTCATTGCTCTTTCATTGCCGCCATTTAAATGGTTAGTACCTATAATATAAACAGTTTAATTCTTCCATCGTACATAGTTATATAAGATAGTTATATTAGGGAACGGCTGATTATGATCATGTGTTTTTCTACGCCACTTATAGGAGCGAAAGGCCGCGATACAATTTTTTATTTTTTTTTTTATGTTAACCGGACCATTTGAAAATTGGTCTACTTTGAGTATTTATATATTATCTAAAATAAATAGCTTCGACCTTTTTTTTTTTTTTTAAAATAGACTTGCTCTTGTTAAACATTGCTTTGTACAAGACGAAAATTACTTAATTGTAATGGAAATTGCTTCAATCACAGATAGCACAGTTTCAAGGTCACCAGTTTCATTGCACAAAATGCTTACATTTACGCTATACGTTAGAGAAATAGTTTCAAAATAAATACTATAGGTTGGTAATATATAAAGTACATTACTAAAACAAAAAATTCTCTCCTTTACCTTTGTGGAAAATTTGATCATAATTAGATTTATTCTCAATGCCTTTTGTAATTGTTGCAGATTTTTGCAATAAAAAATGTTTGATAGGACAGAAAACAGCTGCTGTTTGTCCATTTTTACAGAAATTTATAACCATTTATGTCAAATAAATGCGCCAGTTTAGTAATCTTTAAATTGAGATTCCTTTTTATTAATTTATTGATATGCATACAAGTTTTGCAGAGATGTATGTGTGTGAGTGGAGGGATGTCATATATGTACTTATAGGCTTCTTTAAAAAAATTATTTTGAAAGGATACACCCTTTTCTTTCTTTCTTTTTTTTTTTTTCAAAATAAGGGTTATAATCAAATCATTTTTCAATGCAGGTTTTGATAACAAAATGCCAAGACGGCACCAGATATTTATTTTCTAATCCTATGTTTTCATGCAGTTCCATCTATACTTGAATAAACATAATTTCCTGTAATTCATTTCTGCTGGAATTTCAAATTTCCGTGTAGGACGAGAAAACAGATTAACATGCTAAAATAAAGCGAATGTTGGCTTAAACTTAATCAAGACTATCTTTGATCGGAATGAGAAACCGGCTATTCAATATTGTTTTTGTTGATGAAAACAAAACAGAACGTAATTTGTAACGTCATGGAATTAATACTGTTTACGATAATAGTCTTTCACATTTTTTACAGGTCACGTTTTTTGCATGATTGATGTCAATTTCTTTCTATCATTGCAAAAGCCGATTTTATTCTCAAATAATCAAATTGATCATTGTTGATCGATATTTCTAAAGATTTTACTATCAGGAAAAACGTTAACTATCAAGAGACAGCATAATACTGCTAACAAAAGTATTGACTTTAACAAACATCTATGATGTTTATCTATTTACAGAAACGTTCTTTGAAGCTATTATTCAACAAACCTGTTGATTCTTAAGCCAAACATAAACTAATTATCAGCATTTTAAAAACCATTTTGAACACTAAATATTCTTACAGGAATTGTAACACGGTCTTTATTGGTTGGTTTTGATATTGTATTTGCAAGATGTGAGGGGAAAAGCGCTACACTATAGAAATTTTAATTTTCCTTTGCAAACATTCACATTTTATGATATATCTTTGAGAATATGAATGAAATAAAAAAATCCCTGTCTTGGTCGCCAAATTTCATGCTTCTAAATGTAATTTTTTGCTTTATTGAAGAAAAAAGCATTTTAAACCCTATGAAAAGTTAAACAAATTAAACGTACCTACCTTTATCCCCCCCCCAAAAAAAAGCAAGTAAAAAACAGTAGCAATACTTTTGAAAGACAGGGCATATAAAAATTACCTACCTGATTTACCAACTCCATTTTGTCCCAGAATTGCAATCCGCAATGGTTTCTGTTTGGAAGACATAGAAATTTTTCGTCGAGGTGTCGACATGGTTCGCATATTTTCTCAAATTTTGCACGGAACAAAACACCACACAAAACCATAGACAAGAGTTATAATGTAGTTTACCAATATCTGCCTCTAATAAATACCCTGGAGGGCGAGTTTTTCACACATTACTATATATCTCCATTGATAAACACATAATGAATCGAAAATTGCTTCCCAGTGGCTGTACGATCAAGTAGCGCTGCTGTCTCTGGTCCTTATGGTCAAGAAAAGATTAAGAGTCGATGTCCGGATAAATTGATTTATATGGCTACGGACATAAATGAAGGGACTTAGTAAATAAACTACACGGTAGGGTAAACGGCGTAAGTGTATTGTAAACAAATTTAGCACCACCTTATTCTTACAACGGTTAACACTATCGAACAGCTCTTAGCGAACTGTTTGCTTTAGCATGCCCATCGTCGCATTAATAGGAAATGACAAGGCATCCGTGCGTCGATAGCAGCGTGAAATCGTGATCCAGTGAATTACATGTATTAAGCAGAAATTGATGCGTTCATAGAAAATTATCTGTTATCTTAAACATTTATTAAGTATCCCTTTGAGAGTAATCTGAAAAAGGGATTAGAGCTTATACGACGATTAAAAGATGAATTAGAACCTGTTGACTTATGAACATGTACTACGGTTTACTACTATTCGTGCAATCCTCTTACATGAACTTTATTATCCTGCTTTATACCCAGAGCATTTAATGTATTTTTCTTTCAGTAGGCTTAATTACTCATTGACCCCAAAATAAAACCTTTCCCGAGTACCCATTTTAAATGTATCAACAAATACACAAATGACAAGAAAACATACATGTACATGTACCTGCCCACTCAGCAACACTTGAACTTTGACCGAGTGCATGTCGTTTCTGAACTTTCAAAGGTACAAAAAACGACATTAATGCTACTTCACGGGTAAATCAGTACATAAAATTTGGTTTGAGAATCAAATATATATTTGTTTTGCACTTCAGCATGTACAAAATTATGTATAATTTGATGCCTTTACTGTTCATGGCCAAGATAGCTGCCGTTGATTATAACGAAGAATCCAAAAAACATGGCAGGTATTAAGATATAAAGGTACTCAATTAAAACATCTATTTCAACAGCAACGAACTGATTTCACTTAAGAAAATACATTGCACGTCGTCTTTCAATCCATTTGTTCGCTGAGTTGAATTGTGACAAGAAATTGTGTTCAAACCGAATACCGGAATCTTAAGTTAAAGATTACTGATTAAATCAACTGCATAACAACTTTCATCTTTGATCAAATTAAATCGACAAATTGTTATCACGTAAAAGACAAGAAAAGTATTTGAAGAAGAAATCATGAAGACATTGGAATCTATACGAAGGCGTCTGGAGCTTTAAAGTTCTGATTACCCGCCTCGATAAAATGCAAAATAAAATGCACATTATAAGTTCAGCGGAAATACAGCACATCGAAAAAACAAATTGGTTTCTTTCGAAAGAAAACATTTCAAAAATCCAAATGATTCTAATTTAATATTTTTACAAAATGTTGTGCTTCTCCCGTGAATTTCAAGAGCTCACGTGCAAGTTTCAGAGGAAACACAACAGTGGTGGATCCAGAATATAATTTCAGATAGCTTTCATACTGTGTTAGCTCCAATGGTTTCACTTTACAGTGAAAGGATATTGTTATACTTTCAAAGATTGTTCCCAATATAATTCTATACTAAAAAAGGTCTAACATTTCCAATGTTTTACTGAGGGGTCATAAAAAGATCGATTTTTAACCGCAGAGCGAGATATTGGACCTGTAGATGAGATGTTGGACCGCTTACGTCACAGTGTGGGCGGGGTCAGCTGTATCTTATTTGCATTCGTTGGAGTTCGACAGCCTAACGGCCTCAGGCAAGCAATTTGGTTCTTGCGTCCGACAAAACGCATGTTGCCCTGTTCATTGTTTCATTCAACATCTACACATACAGTGGTAAAATTAGTATATTCCAGTAGTCCATTTACAGTGGTCAAATCAGGATATTACTCGAAGTGCGCTTATATATATATATATATATATATATATATATATATATATATATATATATATATATATATATATATATATATATATATATATGTTAATTAAGGATATTTGTCCAGTGGGTCCACATAAAATGATATACATTTATTGACTGGGTTCGAGGGCAACATGCGTTTTGTCGGACCCAAGAACCAAACTGTTTGCCTGAGGCCGTTAGGCCGAAGGCAAACAGTTTGGTTCGAGGGGTCGACAAAACGCATTTTGCCCGAGAACACAGTTAATAAATGTTTTGTTATACCTTTTATTTATTTATTTATTATTTTTTTGGATATACATGTATGTCGACCACCAACGAATGCAAATGAGATTTAGCTGACCCCTCCCGTTATGTGACGTAAGCGGTCCAACATCTCATCAACAGGTCCAATATCTCACTCCGCGGTCAAAAATCGATTTTTTATGCCCGCTCAGTAAAACTTTGGAAATGTTAGACTTTTATTAGTATTGATTTATATAGGAACAAATTTTTAAAGGTATAACAATAGATTTTATCAAATGATCCACATATATTTACAGCGATAAAATAAAATATAATGTCATTTCAGAGGTTTGTATACAGTGGTACTTATAAGATTACTTTTCATGACCAAGTTCATAAAATCAGGTTGTAAAATCAAGATATACTCCAAGTGCCCAACTATATTTAGTAAAATCAGAATATTTTTTCTAGTAAGTCCAAGTATAATGAAAGAATAACTATTATACTTCCCAGGCCCGCATACAGTTTCATTCTTTTGGTCTACATAGGGTGGAAATCAGAATGTTACCCAAAGTGCCCAACTAAATTGGTAAAATCAGGATAATTTTTCAGTCCCCACTGGGTTCACATACAATGATGGAATCAGGATAATAGACTCCCCAGGCCCACATGCAGTGGTGAAACTAGAATATTATTCAGAAGTGTGATAAGATCAGGATATTGCGAAGTGCAGTGTTTTTTGGGGGAAAAAAATTATATTTTTCCAGTGGGTCCAAGTAAAATCAAGATATTTCCCCCATATGCAGTGGTCCACATACAGTAGTAAAATCAGGATAATTTTCCAAGTGCCCAAATGTATTGGTAAAATTATATTCATGGAGTCCACATGCAGTGATAGTGTTAAAATAAAGATAATAATCGTGTTGGTTACTTTTATCAAATAGTGGTAAAATCAGAATATTGTTCCATTAGGCCCAAATAAAAAAAATTAAACCAGGATATTATTCCAGTTGTCAACTTACAGTGTTTAAATCAGAATATTACTCTTGATGCCAATAACAGGGGAAAATCGGGACACTTTTGCAGGAAATTCACATACATTGGTAGAATAAGGGTATTTCCTCCACTGGCTGGACAAACAGGTACATATGATAGCACAGAAGCAATCAGAAACCCAAACTGACATTGCCCCTCGTTCTAATATCAAACCGGTATCAAAAGTGCAGCCAAGAGAGGGTTATAGGCAATGAAGATATCAAAAGCTGAGAGGAAATTATAAGACTAATCAAGAAGAATTTTCCACAGTAGGGTCCTTAACTAATTCACAAACATACTTATTTTAATCTTTTTAATAGTAAATAATCTGTCATAATTGTCTGTTTATAACAGATGAGCCATGGACTTTAAAGAAAGAATGATCTTCGAATCAAAGCCCATTGTGCTGGGTGGGGTCAAAGTTTTATAAAAGATCTAGATTCCATAAAATCATATCTTTTCAGAAGCATTATTTTATGAGCGAGACAAATAAATCTAACTGCTTCCAAATTGGTGTAGTTAAAAATGTGCTCAAATTCTTCATGTAGCTCCAGGCCCAGGTATGGACAACGAATGAAAGCCCAATATGGAAAAGAAGACCCAGGTATGGCCAACGATAGAAGTCAACTTTTACATAAAATCATACTGGAACAGATCTTCAAAATTTCAAGAATCTTAGGACCACAAGTAGTCAAAGTAATCTGCAAGTACCCCATGTATTGTAGTTCTCTCAGATTATTGTCAGTAGATAGTCAATGGGTTATCAGAGTTTTACCTACATTTACCAACAAGGTTACAAGACGAAATTAATTAATGCATTTACAATATAAATGATATTGTTTAAAACGTGTTCTTCAAGCTTGAGACTACATTAAAAAGTTTCATTCAGAGATTCATTTGTCAGGGAGAGAACAATAACTTCAGTTGGTACAACCTTTAAGCCTTATCTCTCTGTTTCCTGCATCTTGAGCAATTTTGCAAGCAGCAATTATCATGCACATTAGAGAATAAAATTATTGTAGAGTTTGTATTGATAGAAAATAGTTTCCTCATGAAATATTGAGAAAAAATAATAGAAACATGCATTGCAGATGAACAGAAGGCAAATCTTGCGTAAAAGTTGATTCGGGGCATGATGCTGAAACTGCTTGAATATTAGTGACTTACAATGGGAAAACTGGCACAAGAATTTTGACCGCAGATGTACATGTGTTCAAAGAAAATTCGATCTATTTCGAAGAGAACAATGAAATCGATAACACCAGACAATGCCGATATTATCAAGGAAAAGCATAAAAATTTTCTGCACAGCACGGGGAACACCACGACCTAAGGTTCATTGACTTGCTATCAAACATAATTTACACATACACAGTATAACTGTATGGCTCGAGACACTAGAATTTCTCAGATTCTGTGCCATTAAGAAATCCTCTTCACCATTTGCAATAATGAGCACCAATTATATGGTTTCCATTAATATTTGAGGTGTAGAATATAACACTACATAAAAATTAACCTACATCAGAAACTTCGCAGCACTTTCTAACATTATTTTCAAATTAACCTCAACTGAATCATTCACCTCATAATGGTAATTACTTTTTTGTCTATGACACATCAAGTTTTCACTCAGATACATGTGGGCAGGAACAACCCACCCCTTTCACCGATTTATACGCTGGAGACTGTTTAACATCTCATTAATCATTGTTCTCAGATACAATGTAAAGACCGGTTTACACTATGCATCTTGACACATGTATCTAGATTCAAAATTCTATTTTGCCTCATGCATCTTGTTATTTAGACTATGTGTCTTGACACATGCATTTTCAGAATACTTTATAAATATATGAAGTTTTATCCATTAAAAAAATAACAAAGCCCTCAAATTTCTAGATTTGTTTTATCTGAGCAAATCATTCCTAATTTCCTTTTTATGATAATTCTAGAAAGATATAATTTATATATATTCCAAAAAATTCTTCTTTATGATAATAATCAAATTAGTTTTTCTAATTGTAGTTTTAATCAGTATTTTCTTTGTTTTTGGTTCTTTTGGGATGCAATTTTTGGAGGAAAATAAGGCTTATGATCAAATCTCAA